ATTATTATTATTATTATTATTATTATTATTATTATTATTATTATTATTATTATTATTATTGCTTAATTCCAATACAGTATATTCGTGTTTCTAATGGCGTTCTTCCCTTGCATTGTGCCCTCAGATTAAGTCCTGTCTACTTTGTAGTTGTGTGGTTCTACGCTACCCTCTTTGAGTACGTAGGTTCTGGGCCTGCGTGGAATGACTACATCGGCAGCAACGTGAAGATGTGCCGCGATAATTGGTACTTCAATGTTCTGTACATAAACAACTACGTAGACTTGTCACGTCTGGTAAGTTACAAAATCGCTGATGACCAGAAAAAAAACGCAGATTTCAGTATTTCAATAAGCATATTATTTAGCATTTTAGTTCAGTGGTTGGAGGAATTTAAAACATGTTTCACGAATGTAGGAAGTTTTCGTTTGTAATCGCGTTGTACACACATGGAATTCTACGCTAAGCTGGTTTTGGTATTTATGGAGTATACGAGAATCGTTAACTATTATATACATACAATATTTTATACTATATGTAGATACATAGAGCACAGATATAGTATATGTGGACCATAGCTTTAATGCATTTATTCGTGTCAACAATAGTGTTAAGTGTTTAGATGGAGAGATTACTTAAGTCTACATACATTGCTCAGAATGGATGTAACGGTTCTCTCAACGTTTTCCATGTGATCATCCGGAAAATGAGTTGAACGTACTCGGGCAAGTTGAAAGCCACTGAACTAAAATTTACAATAATTATTGTAATTTAAATCATATTAAAGGTATAATAGTTCAAGACGAAAATTTATCATTTTGTATACCAAATAATTTATCTTCAAATATTATCTGCTGAAATAGAATGGTTGAAGCTAAGAATTTCCATTTCGGAATTTAAATATCTTAAAACATTTGAAATATGCTTTTAGCAAACTTTTTTTGACAACATTTTTAAGATTTCTTTGTATATTTTGAGGTATTTTATTTCACGCTCATATTTATGCGTTATTCTAATATAATGTGACACGTCAATTTATGATAAATTCTAAAGATATTCCTCACCCGTCGAAAGAAGTAATTAAATACATATAGCTGAGATTTTGTGCGATCTTCAGGCACTTAGTATGTTTATACTTTGCAAACATAGAATACTTTCACGCCATCATACTTCCCTCCTGATCTCACCATCTAACTGATCACAACCTCAACCCTGTATTAATCGTCGAAGTAAGCTAATCGCCGCTTACAATGGCAGAGCCCTCATAAGGCTGTCCCTAAACACATATTTTCGTATATTTAGACTAGATAATACATCGTTTACCTTAATAGTATAAACCTGACTTGAATAAAGCTATCTCCAAACTGTTCGCGGGGCGTCCCCCTGCCAGTGATTCTCGCGTTTGCTTCTCTCCGGCTGAGATGGTGTAGGGTAACAACTGTTGTCACTGCAACGTTTCTGACACGGATGATGGAGTAGATTTTAGAGGGAAGATGGTAGTGGATTTTGAACACTAGTTCTTTAGCTAAGTCGCATTCAGCCACCGTCCGGAAAAGAATTCTAGCGACCTGCTGCTCTGATCGGTAGTTTTTGTTTTAGTTCATGTTTGTTATTTTTGTTTTTTCATCAATATCAGACGACTGTCGGTGCAGGACTGTACGGAACGGGCCACGGACCGCGCGCGATCATTCCTTCTTCATTCTTGTCCCCTCCTCTCCCTTAGACACACACACTTATACTTGCACTTGCATGCACTATCAGCCATGTCGGAATAATATACTAACTTAACCTGGAGGACGCGTTGCCTCGCTGATGGAGATACGTAGAGGAGAAAACTTCGCAAAAACTGCAAGTAGGTTGGCGTAGGATCTCAATGTGTGGCGGGAAAGGTACACCGGCATTTCCGAGATATAATATGCATTTTACTTACGACTGATCCTTATGATAGCGGATCAATAATTATAGCAGTTGCCGCGCCCGGAAACACACACACACACACACAAAAGTCAAGAAATTGTGCTAATGGCGTGTCGTTTTGCAGTGCATGCTCCAGTCGTGGTACCTGTCGGCCGACATGCAGCTGTTCGCGCTGGCGCCGCTGGCGCTGATCCCGCTGGTCCGTTGGCGCAACTTGGGGCGCGCGCTCCTGGCGGCGCTGCTGGCGCTGGCCGTCGCCGTGCCGGCCGTCATCGTCGCCCTCTGGCGCATGCCCGGCGTCTACCAGCTGAGCAACACGTGAGTGCGCACGCGGCAGACGCAGCGCGCGTGGGGTGGACGGCTACTGTGTCAAATGTTCAACTGCGCCCACATTCAGTAAAGGTGTTTTGTTTTCATCCCAATTAGGGGTTTTTACATAAAAAAAGGAGGCACTGTAGTAATTTTACAATGTTTAATCCTTATCGTACTTCTAATTCATTAGCCGGTCTATTCTAGATAACTTTTCTAATTTCAACTAAATAAATGATGTAGATTCGTCAAAGAATAGATAATGAAAATTAAGCTGATTCATTTTTATATATCAAAGTGCTTTATGTAGTGATGATTTTTATTATCGGAAATGCTTATTTTGTATTACAGTTCAATATTCATTAGTGGGCACGCGTTGGTCGAAGTATTATAGGTATAATAGCTTAGTCACATATTCTGAATTAATGTCCAAGTTCTCCTCTTCTTCAATCTTGTAGTTCCTTTATATTTATCAGAATAAATTTATTTTCCATTTTTAAAGTTGCTAATTAATGCACTTATCTCTTAATCAACGTAGGAATATCATAATCGACGTAAATCAATACATCATTTGCTCCAAAAGTTAGATGAATATTTCAGAACAGTGAATACGAACAGATTTCAATATTACCCCGGATATCACGAGTTTCAGAAGTAAATGGAACTAAAATCATGATATTCATTTTTCAGATAAAAATACGTACATTATCATAAACGTTTTATGAAAAAATGTGCTTGAGGTAAAACTCTATATCCTGAAACTAAAAAGGGAAAGAAAAGTTGTTTGAAAGAAAAGCCTAATATTTCGGCGTAGCGAGATTAGAGATTCAAGAAGAAGCATACGTATAAGTGAACACGCACAAGGTAGTTATAGTTTTTATAATCTCTCCCAAAGATCTCAGAGGCAAATAAAACATCTGTCTTTCACGTTAGAGGCCCTGAGTGTCGCGGGGGCGAGGCAGGGGCGGGCAGGAGCGGCCCGGGACGGGAGCGGGTAGGGGCGGGGACATGGCGGGAGAGGGGCAGAAGAGAGTGGTGCTGAAGCGGGGCGAGAGCGGGG